GATTGAAATTCAATTTGGGATGGTCTCAGTGCTTTTGGAAAACTAACAGTTTTCCTCATTTTAAAAAATTGTCCTAGTGGTCACAATGTATAATATTTGGTTGGTGGTTACGCTAAAAGCCCAGATTTTCCCACTTATGCAATATACCCAAGTAACAAAACTGCACTTGTGCTCCCAAATCTATAAAAATGTCTGTATTTTTTAATTTTCAAAAACAGACATTATGACCTTATGGCTTTTGGATGTTAACTTTGTACTAACCATAGTGAAAATTGGGGGATAGAAATGCATAATAACAAATTAATAAAGTACAATAAATATGTACTCTTTATGAGAAATTCTTAATACTTTGAGATGATACAGTATATGACAAAAAGCAGACTTTCAAATCAGCTTGAGCTTGGATAAAATCTTACCATATCTATTTTTCTCAGACTCCATTATTTAGATGTTGTCGCTTCCTCTGTCCTCCACAAATATTAGCTTTTCTTTTACGTTTTCTGTATTATTATCTTTCTCTGCTGCCTCCAAGGGAGTTCTTCAGTCTTACCATCCTTCCAATGCACAGTTCTATTCTTTGGCTCTAGCTAACTTGCTCTTTTTCCTATCATTTTCACTTTTTCCTTTTATGACTTATTAATTACAGCTTCATGTCTGTAACTTCTTCCATTACACTTTTCAGTATATTAAGTATATATGTTACTATTTGTGTGTTTGTTATGGACTTTTTTTGGAGGTAAGATCTCCTTCTGTCACCCAGGCTGGAGGGCAGGGTATGCTCATGGTTCACTGCACCCTCCTGGGCTCAACTGATCCTCTCTCCTCAGCCTCCTGAGTAGCTGGGACTACAGGCACACCCCACCACACCTAACTAATTTTTGTATTATCTATAGAGAAGGAGCTTCACTATATTGCCAAGGTTGGTTTTGAACTCCTAGGCTCAAGCAATCCACCTGCCTTGGCCGCTCAAAGTGCTGCGATTACAGGCATAAGTCAACACACCCGGCCTATTATGCACTTAAAAAATTCTTGTTTCATCTGTTCCAATTATACTGCCTCAGATAATATATGTTATTTAGGTGTCTCTTTTTGGTAGTAGTTTTGCTCCTCAGGTTTATTTACTTTGGCCAGGGAGCCCATTTTCCCCTGGGACTATCAGATATCCTGACTGGGAAAGAGCACAAGGCCCACCTTTAGTCCCTGACCTGTTGGATGAGCTTATGGAAGGAGGAGATTATGAACCCCAAGACAGAGCCCTTCATTGCCATACCACTCCCTTTCACAGTTACTTCATCAGGAAAACCTGCTGCTCGGGAATTTACCTAAGCTCCTAGAAATAAGTGTCTAATGACTAAGTCATTAGTCCTGGGCATTTGGAGGGAAGGGTATGGAAGGGGGAATTCCCAGGAAGTTCACAGAAGTCTGCGCCTGTTTTCTTCAATTCCTCACCCAAGGAAGGCTTTGCTTTCCTTGGTATTGAGTGACTGATGTCAACATCACGTTGAGTTCTTGCTCCCAGCGTGGTAATGGAACAGATACGATTTTACCTGGCAACAAAAGAGAGAGACAAGAGCAGAAAGTAAAGCATTCCTGCAACCCACCTTCTTACAGCAGTTTTCTATTACTTTCTTCCCCAGGCTGCACCCCCTTCCCTTTTGCACAGTATGTTCTCCAGTTTGGGACTGTTGTTATTCCACCCAGGAGTTTCTCAGAATTTGCTTTTGTTATGTTTATTATTGTTATAATCATTCGTATCTCAGATTCATGATTCCTGTGCTTTCTCCAGGATTGATTTTGGGGAAGGGAGCCAACAACCCATCCTTGTCTGCCATGTTGATATCCCTGAGCTTTTTTTTTTTTTTTTTTTAAATGTTCTGCCTCCCAAAAACATAACTGTTGTCACTGCTAAAGTCTATCTGCTTTTAGAAGATGTATCCCCTATTTCAGAATCTGATTGCATTGACTATCTCTTCTCTTGGGTTCAAAGGAATCATTATAAAACAAAGAACAAAAGGTAAAAGACTGTTTTCATGGACAATTGATCTACAGCTGATTGTGAATATATAGATATCAATCTTTGAAATAGAGAAACAAATAAGTGTTAAAATATTTCAGAGATTTCCGGAAGAAAAAATGACTAATTTTTCCACTTCAGGTTTATAAGGATCAGCCTTTTATGTGAAGTCCTGTTACACGTTCCTTTGGGACTAGTCCAAGTAAGCTTTTCTTAGAGAGGCCGGACAAAAACGGAACATCCTATCACCTCCAGCCTCGAAGGCTCAGGTTTTCTTTCCTCTAACATAAATGTTTTTGTTCTAGATGTCCTTTCCAGTCTAGTGTAGAGAGGCCACAGGGTTAATAGTTGAGCTAATGTATACTGAACACTATCTGAAATAAGGAAAAACTTTGTATATTAATATCTATCATACTGGGTTGTTACAAAGATTAAAATAATCTGTATAAGATGCCTGGTGCAAAGTAAACACTCAAAATTATAGCAATTATTATTTATCATGTAGAAATCACAAAATTGTTAAAATTAGAAATAGGATGAATATAATATTTATATTGAAAATGAAATAATTCTTGTAGCTATTTTGACCAAAGCAACTTCTCATCATTTAGCTTTGTATTCTTATTCCCAGCATCATCATGTGACATTTGGATTCCTGTCACTTTTTTATCTTTCTGGTTTCCAGTCAAGGAAATGTTGGTTTATGCAGTGCTTGTTGAAGCTACATCAGGCATGAAATGAAACATTTATCATTGTGTTTTGGAAAATGTTGCATTGCTGACTAATGTGTTAGTGGCAGTAAGTAAGTGATAGAAGATTTCAGCAATGTAACAAGCTTGACATGATGGGCATATATAGAATATAGCACTGAAAACTAGAAAATACAGAATACACATTTCTTAGTAATCATACATGAAGCTTTTAAAAAACTGGCTACCTAACTTGCCATCAAACATTCTCAAAATTTGCAAAGAATTAATGGGAGATCGACTACATTCTTTGGCCACGATGCAATTAAAAGAGAATGACAAAACAATAACCATTGAAGTCCATTTCCTGAGTTGAATGGTGTCCCCCTCAAAATTTCCTGTCTACACAGAACTGGAAATAGGATTTTTATTTTTATTTTTATTTTTATTTTGAGGCAGAGTCTTGCTCTGTCGCCCAGGCTGGAGTGCAGTGGCGCGATTTCAGCTAACTGCAACCTCCACCTCCCAGGTTCAAGCAATTCTGTGCCTCTGCCTCCCGAGCAGCTGGGATTACAGGTGCCCGCCACCACGACCAGCTAATTTCTGCATTTTCAGTAGAGACAGGGTTTCATCATCTTGGCCAGGCTGGTCTTGAACTCCTGACCTTGTGATCCACCCGCCTCGGCCTCCCAAAATGCTGGGATTACAGATGTGAGTCACTGTGCCCGGCCACAAATAGGATCTTTGCAGATGTAATCAAGTTAAAATTAGGTGATGCTAGATTAAGGTGGGCTCTAAATCCAGTATGACCAGTATGCTTATAAAACAGAGCACCACAGAGACACAGTCATTCAGAGAGAACAAATCCATCTGAAGACCACGGCACTGACTGGAATGATGCATTTACACACCAAGGCACAGTAAGGATTGTCAGGAAATACCAGAAGCTAGGAGACAGGCATGGAACAGCTTCTCCTTCAGAGTTTCCAGAAGGAACCAACTCTGCCAACACCTTGATTTTAAGACTTCTAGCCTCCAGAACTAGGAAAGAATAAAATTCTGTTCTTTTAAGCCATCTAGTTTGTGCTACTTTGTTATGGCAACCCTGGGAAACTAATATGTCCCATATGCTTGGGAATTAAGAAACATACTTCTAAATGGTTCATAAGTCAAATAAAAAAATCATAATAGAAGTTAAAAAAATATTTTGAACTAAACGATAATGAAAATGCCACATATCTAAACCAAAGAGATGGAACTAAATCAATAGAGAGACATTTGTAGTCTTACATTTATAAATCAGAAAAGAAGAAATGATAAAAATAAATGAGTTAAGTATCCAAAATAAGAAGTTAGAAGAAGGAATACAAAATAAACCTTAGGAAAGTAGGAAGGAGGACATAAAAATAAAAGCAGAAATCAATCAATAAAAAGCAAAAATCAAATAGGGAACAATGGATGAATTTCAGGAACATGATGATGTTGAATATTTGAAAAAGCAAGTTTCAGAAAAATACATATAATATTCCATTTACATAGATATTAGAAACAAGTAAAACTAAACAATATGTTGTTTAAAGATCCAAATGTATGGTAAAATGTTCCAGGTGGTATTTGCCTCTGAGCTGGGAAGGAATGACATGGGAGTATGGAATGAAGGAAGTAGAGGAGGGAGGAAGGGAGGGAAGGAGAGACGAAGGAAGGGAGGGAGGGGGGAGGAGGGGGGGAAGGAAGGAAAGGGAAGGAAGGAAGGAAAGGGAAGGGAGAGAGGGAAGGAAAGGGAAGGGAAGGAAGAGAGGGAAGGGAAGGAAGGAAGGAAAGGGAAGGGAAGGGAGAGAGGGAAGGAAGGAAGGAAAGGGAAGGGAAGGGAGAGAGGAAAGGAAAGGGAAGGAAGGAAGGAAGGGAAGGGAGAGAGGGAAGGAATGAAGGGGAGAGAGGGAAGGAAGGAAGGCAAAGGGAAGGGAAGGAGAGGAAAGGAAAGGGAAGGAAGGAAGGGAAGGGAAGGGAGAGAGGGAAGGAATGGGAAGGAAGGAAGGGAGGGAGAGAGGGAAGGAAAGGGAAGGAAGGAAGGAAAAGGAAAGGGAAGGGAAGAAGGAAGGAAGGAAGGGAAAGGAAAGGAAGGGAGAAAGGGAGAGGGAAAGAGGGAGGGAAGGAAGGAAAGAAGGAAGGATGGAATGCAATCTAAGCTTTCTATTCCATATGTTTATATTTCATTTATTGGCCTTTTGCCCATTGGTTCTTCTTTTGTGACTTCCCTATTCATATCCTCTGCCCATTTTTCCATGTTTTAAAACAAGGTTATTGCCGACATGGAAGCCCAGGTTCACAAGTTGAGAGAAGAACTGATCAATGTGAACTCACAGCGGAAACAGCAGCTGGTAGAGCTTGGTCTTCTTCGTGAAGAGGAAAAGCAAAGGGCTACAAGGGAACACGAGATTGTTGTCAACAAACTGAAGGCTGAATCAGAAAAGATGAAAATAGAGCTGAAAAAGACTCATGCCGCTGAGACAGAGATGACACTGGAAAAGGTAAGATATTTGACTGGTTTTTTAATAGACAGTTGAAACCCATGTTGAAAATCCACTGCCACCACCCTTATATTTAATCTCCAACAGGCAGTAGACATGGCATTGCTCTTTAAATGTATAAACTCTTCAATCGAGGAATTTAAGTATCTTGCTCCTATGTCTAAGTACCACTAAAATAATCTAGGGAATTTCCTAACTTTTCCCTTGACTTTCATGGAAGGGATTATATGGAATATCCTATTCCATAGTAATTAAATACACATTGCAATAAAGTGATATTATAATATTGTCAAATATTATTTTGATTAGAAATACTGAGGCTGTATCCCTAAATTTTCCTAGATGGAGACTAAGTTTCAGATCTTCCCTCGGTTGTCTTAATAAGCTTTTCTAGATTTTACCATTTTTTTACAACAGTGTCACATAAATGATGACTTATTTTCCCAGGTTGATATTTTGGTAGAAATAAGAAAAGTATTTTAAAATTATTTATTATTGGAATAAACGTCAATATAATGTTTAAACATTTTGATTAGACTTATATTCAAGGTGCAATCTCAAATATTCTTTCTTTTGATGTTCAGAAAAAGTATAACTATTTTATTCCGGTACTAAATGTGAATTGCTATTTCCAAAATTGCCTCTGGAATTTCTTAAGACCAGTCTTTATCTTGGGAATAAAAAACTTGAAAAGGGTAACTTAAGAATCATCTAATTTTGTTTAATTTCCTTCCACCTATCCCTCTTTATCTTCAAATAGTGTTGAGCCTTTAAAGAGTATGCAATACCATGCTAGCCATTACTTCATTGATTTTACATAGACTGAGATCCTAAGGTACTTGCTTTATTGTACGTTAATTCATTTGAAAGGCAGATTTCAGCAGATTTGGCCCCTGACAGCATAGCTGTGAACCCAGAAATAAATAGGAAAAAGGACTATAAATAGGCAGGAGTGAGCCTGACTTCTTGGGGGAACAGCAGGGAAGTGGTGTGTCTGGAAATGATGACTGAGAAGAAGAGGGAAAGTGATGGGGCCAGAGAAGAAACCTGAGGGCGTGGGTCCAGGTCAGGTAGGTCTGAGTAGGCCAGTGAGAGGGTTTTGCTTTGACTCTCTATGAGTAGGGGAGCTTGGCAGATTTTGAGCATGGGAGTGACATGATTTGACTCACACTTGAATGGGATGTCATCATCTGCTGTGCGAGAATAGACTGAATTGACGGCAAAGGAGGAAGTAGAGAGACCGGTTAAAATGCTGTTGCAAAAATATAGAGGAAAGGTAATAGAGGGTTGGGTCTAGCCAGTAGCAGTGAAGGTAGTAAAACCTGATCAGATTTGGGATATGTTCTGTAGGTAGAGCTGACAGCATTCACTGTTGCTTCACGGGATATGCTGGGCATGGGGAGTGGCGTGGAGCAGTCACGGGTCGCACCTAGGCTATTTTCCCAAGCCAGTGGGCAGATGGAATTCCTCTTTGCTGAAAGGAAGAAGACTACAAGACCAATAGGTTGGGCCACTCAGGACATGTTCAGGCTAACTGGATGTTAGTGATAATTCCCTCACAGCAGGATAAAAGAATAATGTCTCGATGCTAAAATATACAGGTCAGGAATTAGGGAAATTTTTTTTTTTTTTTTTTTTTTTTTTTTTTTTTTTTTTGAGTCCACATCCTCCAATGCGATCAAAATCATGCTCATCCACCTAATCTCTAGGGTGGATGAAATTGGGCCATGGCCCAGGCTGGGTGAGTGGCCCAGATCTAGAAGCTCACTGCAAGCTCCGCCTCCTGGGTTCACGCCATTCTCCTGCCTCAGCCTCCCGAGTGGCTGGGAGCACAGGCACCCGCCACCTCGCCCGGCTAGTTTTTATGTGTTTAGTAGAGACGGGGTTTCACTGTAATGTGGCCAGGATGGTCTCGATCTCCTGGCCTCGTCCACCCGTCTCCTCTGATGCTGGTTGGGCTTGAGCCACCGCGCCCAGCCTTTTTTTCTGGACAGGTCCTGTCACAGGCTGGAGTACAGTGGCATGATCTTGGCTCACCTGCAACCACCACCCGGGTTGGCGTTCTCCTGCCTCAGCCTCCTGGGTAGCTGGGATTACAGGCACCCGCATCCGTCTGGCTAATTTTGTATTTTTAGTAGAGATGCTGGTTTCTGCCATATTGGCCAAGATGGTCAATTCTGACCTTGACGTCACCTCGACCTCCCAAAGTGCTGGGATTACAGGCGTAGGCCAATTGCAGCCAGGAAATATTCTTATATGGTACTAGTCTCAGACTTCCGACCAGCAGATAAAAGAGACTGATGGAAAGTAGAAAGAGACACTGATGGAAAGGCAGTGTTGCCACTTATCTTTTCTTAACTCTACACACACCTCACCTTAGCCGATCAAACTCTTCCCTAGCAGTTCAAATATTTCTAAGTAAATGTTCTTAAATGGCACAGATGCCTGTGCACCTTGATTAAGAAAATTGGATGATGTCTCTCAGACATATAACACATCCAATTTAGGCCTTAATTTCTACTGCATTATATATTCACATTTCCAAATGCCTCTTTAATAAGAGATGGGCACATCAAAACGTAGGTTTATACATGATGCTAACTAATTTACAGGGTAAAGATAATTTAAAAATTAAGTATTTAGAAACCTGAATTTTTTTATATCCCAGAAGGCATTATCACAGGCCTCAAGGTATAAAAAATGAGGAAGGCATGGGCCCACTGTCTATAATATAGATAAAATAATATTGACTGAAAAAGATTGCAAGTACATAAGATAACTTTAGAATAAGACAGTCAAGCTACAGGAAAATCATTTTCTGCTGAGGAAGTGGGAAAATTAGGTGGAGAGATGTCATTTTGAATGAGGTGACAAGTAACATAGAGTAGGATTTAACTAGTAGATATATTTGGTAGCATTTCTAAGTTAAAAGAAGTAAGAGAAAGCAAGAGCAAACAAAACCATTTCCAATGACATAGAGGTTGATCAAGGGAGGCTAGCGACCAGCTGAGATAACCGGATCATCGAAAGTCTCTAAAGCTGTAGTGACATTTTTGCTTCATTTAGAGTAAACAATGAGGAGCTGCTAAAGGTTTTGGAAATGAAGTGTCAAGATTCCAGTGATTATTAGGAACATCATCCTCTTGAGTGTTGTAAGAGTGTAGTGGCAGCAACCAGGGTGACAAAGGACTGCTGGATTAATCTAGGCAGGAGTCCTCGAGGGCACAGTAGATGTGCATGAGAAGGCAGTGAGTGTTAGCAGTAGCAAAGACCAAGGGGATGTTACCAGAAAATCATCACTTAGAGATAGCACTGATTAGGCTGATTAAATATAAATCGATCAGGAATGTAGAAGTTTCTACGGTGGAGGAGGAGAAGCTGAACTGAGTGTAAGAACATGTGGAGTTTGATGACCTCCACTTTCCCTGTGGAGTTTGAGGTAGCGCTCCACTTTCCCATACTGTTGACAGAATGCTTCTGGATATCCCAGAGCAGGCAGGACTGGAGCTCGACAGCGCTTGAGAATCACCCACAGAAGGCCCGACCTGTAACATGCCAGTGAGTGGGACCTGACTAAAGCAAAGGGGAAAGAGGAGGAGGGGAGGAGGGGAGCGAGGCAACTGAAGGGAAGAACTTGGGGTACAACTCCGTTTGAGAGGTTAGGGAGAAACAGTCAAGAAGGGGTCACGAAGGTAGAAGGGACATGAGAAGAATACATTTTTATGGGAAATAGAGAAAAGACTATTTGGAAAGGGGATTGTCAAGAATGTGACCCAAACTCAGGAAGGATGGGACATTGAAGGAAGGTCACTGAATGCTTAGGCCACGAAGTCATTGATGATCTTGGACAGTGTGCACAAGCGATCATGCCCAGAAACAGGGTTACAAAGATAAGTCTGAGAGTGGAAGTAGAGAACATTCTATTGTTTGGGAAAATATGATGCTGAAAGGCAGATGCAATTCCAAAGAGCAGCAAGAGTGAAAGAGAGTATATTTGGGGGCTGAACATGTGTTGAGCATTTTGCAGTACATACGAAGGGACTAATGGAGAGGAACAGCTTAATGATGTGAAGGATCAGAGATCATTGATGACATGATCTGTGGCAGAGGTGGTGTAGGTGGGAATGGCATCCCCCAGCACAGATTAGCACAGGCCACCTCGGCCCCACGCCTGGCTACAAGGCTGCAAGGAGTCCATTTGTCTTTTCCCAGAATGTGCAGCACTCTCCCCTGCCTCCAGGTCTTTGCAGCTGCTGTCATCCTCTGCCAGAATACTTCTCCACATGATTTTGTCAATGGCCAGCCTCCTTTGTCGTCATTCTACACTCCTCAGAGCATCCTTCCCTGACCTTTTCATCAATTAGCCTACCTATGCCACCTATTTTGTCCCATTGTCTTCATAGCTCATATATTACACAGAAATCATCCTTTTATTTGTTCGCTTGTTTATTTCCTCCACCACTAGAACACACACTAAGCTCTGTGTGAGTCCTTGTTGAGCTTGTTCCTTCTGTACACTTCAGTACCTAGAAAGCCCAGCTTGAGGCAGGTGCCGGTGTGTATTCGTGAATGAGTATTGTGGGGAGGCATGACCTTCACCATGGGAGGAAGACAAAGATTGGTAAAGATGAAGCTCTCTGACAAGACTTAGAAGAACACTTGTGGCTAATAGCATCTAATTCTTAGTAAAGAATCAGAATAATCTGCTTAAGTGAGAGAGAGTTTCAGAAAAGTGAAACAGGCTTCAGGCGGAACAGTGGGAAATGCCTTGGAAAGGAAGAAGATGTAGGGAATTTGTTCCTATAGAACTGGAGTTCTACAGGTGAGGAGGGAGCATGAACTATCCTGTATCTGGAAGAATGGAATGCTCCTGGATTAGTGAGGCACAGAAGGTAGAAAGGAGGTTTAGGGACAGTGCTTTTAGCTGGCATGGATGGAGTGCTGAGATGGACAGACCAGAATGGAGGACTTGTTGACAAAAGGGAGAGTCTGGGAAAGGG